GCCTCCTGGCTATTCACTGCTTCTTGGCATTGCTAAAACCTGTACAATATTTAGCACGGTTCTTTCCAGTTAAGTTTGTAAGACAAAGGCTACTTGCCTAATTCTCTCATGCAGTATTTGTACAGCCCCATTTTCAATCCATTTCACTGTATTCCACAATTAATATATTCATGAGTGTATTAATTCTCAATGAATTCGAGTCAGTTCTTTGGAATACTTTGTTCTTCTCAAACTAGTTTATTGAACTGATTTTTCCATCAGTTTTTGGAGATCAGCAGACCTGCTGTGAGGAAACTGCTGAACTTTCCAAGAAACTGTTTTCTTGTTGGGGAAAGCCAGGAATCTCAGACACCAGAGGCAATTCACAGCTTAGAGCAGATCCATGTTCTACCTGCTGTAATGAAGTGGTTTTCACCTCTGAGGTGACAGCTGTTTTATGGAAAGCAGCCATCTGGTGCCAAAGCATTTTAAAATCTGTATTTAATGTATTCACTTAACACTGTCAAGTATAAATGAGACAGGTAAGGCAGAAATTGGGGATGGGACACCCACACAGCCATTCAGAAGCTTCCTAATGTTGATGAGCATTCAGGGAACAGGAGTACGAGTATGGTGGAAGAGAAACCCAGCCTTTAAAATCTGATGGTTTAATATATAACCACAGAAATTTAAACTGTTTAGGATCTATTCTTGTAACGAACTTTGAACTGGGATAGCAAAATTTCAGATCTGATCCATTTGTTATTTATAAGCCAACACTGTATTATGGAAACGTGGATTCAAAGCTTCGGCACGGAGCAGCTGCGGACTTTGATTCCAAACGCAGCAAATTCAACAGTAACACCTTAAAAACGGACAGGGCTACTGAGACCTTTGGTCTGAAGTGTCTTCACTTATTAACCAAGAAATGCTTCACCAACTGTTTGGTGTTTCGAAGCATGTGCATTGCCTGTCACTTCACAACCGCCTCGATTGCACAACTGAGCGCTGAAACGCAACAGGAACTTAATGAACTTACTGCAGAGAATTAAACAGAACATTCAGCTCCTAAATCACAGATGCACGGAACAGTGGAGGCTGGCAGGGATCTCGAGGTCATCTTTTCCAACCTCCCTGCTCAAGCAGGGTCAAAGCAGCACAGTTAGCATGTCGAACGTGGTGAAGCTTCAGTAGAAAGCTTTGCTTGGTCTGTTGAGAAGGCTTGCAGGACAGGAGGACACCATCCCTGGCCCAGAGATGTGATGCTGTCTTACAGTGTCCAGCTGGTGAAGTGTTACTCCTATTTAGGTTACTTAGGAGCTAAAGATTGCCACTAAAAACACAGCTAAAACTCTGCCCTCATGACTTATTTTTAAGTGTCATTTAAAAGATACAGAACTTCACCAGTCTTACTCCTTTCTGTAATTATTTTTTGCTTGACAGAAAGACTCTTTACCTGACCACAAAGCCCTGGCTGCAGCACTGAACACTGGCGTTATTTACAGACACTCCTGAAAGATGTTTGAGATCTAAAACTAAAACTAGCCAGGTCCCGCAAGAACTTTATGTTAATATTGAAGCCCAAGTGATGTCTGTTGCTGTAGAAATAATTCCAAGAACTCGTAAGGGCTAAATCAGATCAAAATTTAACTCTGCTTTATGAATGTTGCCACTAAAGTTCAACTTTTAATTTCAACACGGTTGTTGTGTGTCATCATTCGAGCCATACTGACTTTTTAAAAAAAAAAACAAAACCCAGAAATATGGTTGAGTATCCTAAAGCTAAAAGAGAAGGAGAATCACCAGTTTGGTTTTTATCCTGAAGAAATCGATTTGGTCATCACTAACTTGTGAAGGAACCAACACCACAGGACCTGCACCTCAACTCAACTAGGCCTCTCCTTCTGCTACTGTTCTTCTGCTTAAAACTATACAGATCTGTGATGACAAAAGGATCAGCTTAATTATGAAGCAGGCAGGTGCCACTCACGCCTAGGATTCTTCTTTATTCTATTCTTTCTCACTCTCTCTTTACATCAGGCGATGTATCAATTCCAAAAACGCTCAAATGATTCCAGGAGACTCATTTTCTTGAGCTGTTTTTGAAATGAACCATCTCCCATCAGGAGGATTCCCATTCACCGTTTGCTTTTGGTCACTGCTAGGGTCAATGCCTGGATTGGCCACAAGATTCAGACTGGGAGTACTGCAAAGCAGAGGGCAGACCAAAGCACAGGCAACGGGATATCACAGCAACAGAGGGAAGAAACCAAGAAAAATCAAGAGAAGATCCCTGTTAGTGCAAATATCCTCTGAACATCGATTCCAGTGAAAGCAAGAGCACTCCCTCCCATACCTCCTGCTCCATTATTTCCAAGTGTGTGATGTATGTGTGTACGTTTGGGACTAATTTTAGGGTACGTGCCTTTACTTTCCAGCCTCTGTGTCACAGCACTGAAAACGACTAGCTGCAAAACACACAATAAGTGCATCTGCTCATCACCAGAAGAAACACAAAGGAAAAACATACCTTGTCCCACAAGGCACATTTTTCACTTCATCGGTCTGCAGCGTGGTCTGAAACAAAAAGACAACCAGTGCTCACAAACCCTCTCCATTCTCCAGGAAGATCATGCTGTGCCCAGACTCATAACCATCACACAGGAACACGGAGCCAAAAACGTGTCCTCTGCCTCCCTCCTGACTTTTGCAGGTATGGGCAGAAGACAGACTTCTTTTCAACTGCCTTCTGGGAGACAGAAAGGCAGCTGTGCTCATTTCCCTACTCCCAGCTCCTGCAGCTCTTCTGGGAAATGAAGAGCCACAAAACCAGACTGCCCTCCCAGAGCAACACATCTTCTGTCCCAAGCAACACACACGTTTTGGAGATTCCACCAAAAGACCAAGTCCCAGCACACAGCTGGGACTGGCACTCAAGGCAGAAGGAACCAAGGGCTTCCTAGGAGCTGCTGCTCTGACCACCACATTACCGAGCCCCTCTGCGAACACCAGTTGCCCAAACCACCCCCACCCAGCAATACCCCTACAGACACCCACTCCCACCCTTTTCCAAGATGGGAAGGTACTGACCTGCACGGATTTGAAGGTGGTAATGAACGGGAGCATGATGTGGTAGCCTGGTCCGCTCGGACTAGTTAATAACGCACCACCCCTACAGAGAGAGAGAGGAAAATGGGGAAAAGGCTCGAGCCCCTGGAAAACAAAAAGTGCTGGCTTTGAGGGCGAGCGAGTACGTTCGAACTGCCAGGAGTCACAGCTGTGGTACTGCAAATTCCGTTACTTGCCTGCACCAAATTTGCCACCAACCCCCCTACAAAAGGGCAAACTCCAAAAACTTGCCTGCTGCAACTCGACCATCGTTTGCTTCAGTCCTGTCAGCAGTGAACTTTTAGAGGAGGCAAGCATTGCTAAATCCTTCCATCATTGCAACGTTGCAGAGAGCTTCAGGAACACGAATTCTCCTCTCTAACCATGGTAACCATGGAAAAATACCACCAGTCTGGATTTCCGCAAGGCATTTGGCACAGTCCCTTACCCTACAGTCTCTTGTGGGGACTGACAGGTGGTTCAAAGACCGGAGACAGGGGAGAGCTCTCGCAGTGCAGGAAGGTCTCCTGCGAGGGCCTACGCTGTTCAACGTGCTCATCACGAAAGGAAAGAGCAGCGCAAAGAAAACTGGCCCACGGTGGCGAGTGCGAAGCGTAGAAAAGACAGGACAAAAACATAGCAGAAACAGCAAAAAAAAAAGCAGAAAGGCCAGTGCTGAATTTATGGAATCATGGAATGGTTTGGGTTGGAAGGGACCTCAAAGATCATCTCGTTCCAACCCCCCTGCCATGGGCAGGGACACCCTCCACTACACCAGGTTGCCCAAAGCCTCATCCAACCTGGCCTGGAACACTTCCAGGGATGGGGCAGCCACAACTTCTCTGGGCAACCTGTGCCAGGGCCTCACCACCCTCAATGTAAAAAATTTCTTATGTTTCTCTGTTGCTTTATTCAAATTTGAAGCAAAAATCTAGTTAAGAGGTGGCACTGACTACCACCACTCACTGTTGGCTGACAAGTTGCTCTACAGAAGCTGCTCAGGGCAGCTCCAAGCCCCAGGTGAAACAGCCCAGAGTCAGGAAAACGACACCTTTCAAAGCAACAACAAAGCGGGTACTCTGGCTGGCCAACAGTCCTGGGACAGAGATGACAGCCCTTGATGTAACAGGGAGAGATCAACACAGCCGAAAACTCCGGCTGGACAAGGAGCTTTGCTCCTTGAAGCTTTGAAATCCAAACTGTGACCCAGAAAAGGGGAGAAAGGAGAGGGAGGAAAAGCAGCTGAGGATCCAGAAGGACCCAACCTCGTCCCTGTTCTGCACAGAGCCAGGCTGTCCAGGCTCACGCCGTTTCTGGCACAAGGGAGCAGAAACGATACAGTCCGCCCATCTCGGGGCAAAACGCGGTGGGAAACACGGCAGAGAGCCATCACCTCGCGAGGCGATCTGGGAGCAGGGATGGAGCCCAGCTGAGACAGAGAAACTCAGGGAAGGCTGCGGAAGGCGCCAGGGCACTGCCAGGGAACCGTACCTGTAATACACGGCCAGGTGCCCCTCTTCCACCCTGTGGATGGCGGCGTACAGCACGAAGACGAGGAGTCCCGTGGCAGCTGCAACTACG